AATACAAATAATTTATCAAAAAATAAACAATATTTTATTTCAAAATCTACAAATAAATTTACTTGACGGGCAAACATTATCCAACAATTTTAGTATGATACAGACATTAGTATAAGACATCAGAAAGCTGGCAATATTTACACAAAATTACAATGATATTATAAAATTGTCCGTAAGAACAATAGTATTCATATAATAGTACTATTTATAATTTCAAATCCCGATTTTACTGCCTACTATTTGCTCTCTTATAACCTTTTGAATGCTGATTCAAGAATCTTATAGAGAGACAACCGAAATTGGATTGTGGTATAGCATGTATTGGTACATTTTATGCAATAGAATAGCTGTTCATTTTTTATTTATTTTGACAAATTAAAAGAAATGCAGGATCCGTATCTATTTCTTTTCATTTATAATGAAATTTCAATAAATGATGCAGCCGTATTCTTGATTTGCATGTAATAATGTGTCCATAGACCTCAAAGAAACACAAAAACATTCTCCTCATATTAGCACTATGTTGCCAACGAAATTTACACTATTTCTGCCGAAAAATTTCCTAAATTTCTCCTAACTAGTATATAAATATTATATTTGTTATTTAAAATTTGATGAGCAAAGTATGTTAAATCCCTAAGAAAAATAACTAAAATAGAAAGAATGAAATATAATTTTAAAAAAATACCATATGGGGAAAAGGGAAGAAAAACCTATACTTTGTTGATGTCTCCAAAAGATGACAACCCTGAAGCCTCTCCAAGATTACTATTTCCAAGGTTGGCTTTAGTTTTGTATTCTCCATATGTTGTCCAACTTCTGCTAGAACTGTGTCCCTTTATGAGTTTTGTTTTCACGTGTTCTGGTAATCTCAATGTAAACTTATCTTCTTCTTCTTCTTTTGTTCTAACTATTGAATGACCTGTCGAATGAGATCTCGAAAACTTGTCTATCTCATTCAATGGTGGTGGATAGACTTGTTCATGGGCAGCAGTAGAATCCAACGTTTGATCGCCTTTGTCTTCCTCAATTGTGATGTGAAAACTACCATCTACTTGTTCATTTTCTTGTACAATGTCATTAATGGAGTTACTGTAGATGGACAATGGAGACTTCATCGGAGATTGCGTGGGGGAGTCGAGGTTTCTCCGGCAAACAGGACATGTTTTATGAGATTCAAACCAAAGGTCAATGCATTCCTGATGAAATACATGGTTACAGAATATAACAAGGCGAAGGACATCGTTATCTGAAAACTCATCCAAGCAAACAGCACATTCTAGTCCATATTTTTCCTTGCGACAATCTTTGACTGTTGAATAAGTGAAGCTTGGAAAAGATTGTATAATCAACTTGTCTAGGCCACGAGCATCATTTGGGGCCGGACCTTCCACTGGAGTTCCGTTGGGACTATGCCGCAGATGCCATGTATATATTAAATTTTGCAAGAAGCACCTACAGAAATACAAGGAGAAAAAACCAACAAAGAAAAATACTAGGAGGACAAGTGTGAGGGTGACTGTAATCGGTGGTGCTATATAATCTGTATGTGACGGCGAAGCTGGTTTGACTGAGCCTGTCGCCATTAATGCCTTAATCGTTGGAGCAGTATATTCTCGAGGTGACGGCGAAGCTGGTTTGACTGAGCCTGTCGCCATGAATGCCTTAAACAAAGAGGCTACGCAATTCCTTGTATGGCTGGAGATCAAATTACCCAGAATTGGCCAGTTTTGATTGTTCTGAAGATGTGAAAATGCAGAAGAAAGTAGAGGAAACACATTATTTTTCCTTTGCTGGTAAGAGAGTAAAATTAGAATCAGAAAATGGCGGAGAAGCATGCACAAAATATGGCGTCTTAATAAAGATGTATTGAGGTCAAATTGGTTTCTCTCTTCGTTTTTTTAATGGTCAGAATCCAAGTCATTGAGAGACTCCTTGAGAAAGGGGTGGCCACAAATCTTAATATAGTTAAATTTCAAATGTTCTGAAATCAATTCTCTTTCAAATAAGGGACATCAACAAATTTATGGTTTAAGTGAAAATCAAACATAAGTCGACATGAGCTAGTTTTAAGCGCATTGTATACTATTTAAATGTTAGTTCATGACCATTAGTGGCAACACTCTAAGCTCACATTTAATACACCGTATTTGATTACGAATAGAGTTGAGAGGGATAGTATTAAAGAGGATGGGTAATGGGGATCGTGTGAAGGTGGATTGGATGTAATGTTCTAATACGGTGTTTAATCCGACACCATATGCGAAGACCATGTAAGTAATGAAATATTACTTGTGACTTTTTTTTACTTATAAATGATTTTTTATATATAAAGTGAGATTTTTATCTATAAATAGTATTTTTTTTTTACTCAAAAACAATTTTTACATGAAAGTGATTACTTTACTTGTAAGTGAATATTTTAGTTGTAAATAATATTTTACTCATACGATTTTTTTTTTTTTTACATAAAGTGAATTTTTGTATTATAAATAATTTTTTAATTATAAGTGTATTTTTAATTATAACTAATAAACTTTTTAACATTAAGTAAATAGTTCACTCATAAGAAAACTCATATATACAATATTATCCTTATAATACATCCCTTCTAGATAAGACAATTGCCAGCATTATTAAGAAAAGTATGTTCTGTTTCAGAAAAGAAAATTGCGCCAAAGGCAGCAAATGAATTGAAATTGATAAGTGCCGGGAAAATTTTGGAAAATAACAAGACTGTTGCACAGTGCAAGATATCATTTGGGGAGCTACCTAAAGATGTCCTCACTAGACATTCCAACCTATTCCTGTAAATTTGTAATGAAGAACATCTTTTGCTTCATGAATTATAAAATACCTATTATCTTTTATTCTCCTCCTCTACTTCGTTTTCTTCTTCTATCTCTTTTTGCTGTCTCTTTCCTAAGAAACGATCCTTATTGTCTTGTTTGAGCGCGCTTACGCATCATAGAAACAACTCTACATCGGTAGAAATTCAATATCAATAGTATCAGGAGCGAACGCAGAAGTTTAAAGTTAGGGGTACACAATCAAATTTACAAAGAAGTTGAGAGAAATTTTACAATCGAAAATTTATGTCCAAAAAAATCATACCCCACGTAATTTTGCATCCGAAAATTTACATGGAATATAACTTTTTCAAATGTAAAATTTCGAAAAAAAATTATATTATATTCCATATAAAATTT